TTTGATGAAGGGAGTCCAATGAATTGGTGTAAACACTCCGGGCATCGTTCTGTTGCCATTGCGAACGCTTTCTGCTGCCGCTTCCTGACATTTTGCCTGCAGTGCTTAGACAATGGTTAAGCGTCGCCTGTTGTCTGGTTAAGCTCGTTCCATCGGAATATTCATTTTTAATAGTCAGGCGTTGGAGGGCTGTAGCCCTTTTTTAATTCATCTGCGAGACTTGTACTTGCACGCACCGCCAAGGGGCCTGCAGGATGCGGGGGTATTCGCACAGGATATTGCGACATTTAAGCAAATATCCCTGGCACTGGGAGAGCAAACCCGAAGGATGTCAACGACTTTAGTTGCTGCACAATTATCGTTTAATTTGTGGGCCCAACCCAGTTGGAAATCCAATGATGGTAAGACCCAGGTGTGTTTGTCCAAAGGTTAGCCTCCTGAGACCCAGGGCACAATTGAAATGTCATCTGCACACCTGCAAATTAGTTAAATGCCTGCAATTCCACAGCTCAGCTCCTTTGGCTGCATAAACAATTGTGTGTGTGGCCCAACAATTGATAAGGTCTTCTATGCTAGTTTAACTCTGTATTTTCTGCTCATCCGGTTGTATTTCAATTTAATGGAATGCATAAAATTGTCATAAAGTGTGACGGCATTATGCAAACGCCTGTCAAAATGCATGACACCCGGGCTCGAAAGATACATTTATATCTTTGACAATAAAATATTAAATTCGCTAGTTAAACTTGCCTTGAATAATATTTGGTTTATGGAACACAAACTTTAATTGTTTATTCTGATTTATGCCATTGCTTGTCTTCAATTCAAGTGAAAAATTCTCTTTCTTATTTATCATTTAAATTTCATTTAGAATTTATGTATCCAACTACTTAATGAACATTAATTTCCTTCGCATCTTAATTTCCCCAACTCAGTACGGTTTTTTACGTTCAAGAACCAGTGCTAATTAATGGAGACTCCCTGCCATTCCATGACCGCCTTGTATGACTAATTTCATTAGAAGATTCAGGGCCAAATAGAACTGAGGGAACTTGGCCCCATCTTGCCAACAAGTGGCCCCATGTGCTTGTCCTCAAGTGGCGAGGCTACACTAAATTGCTTTTAATTATGCAAAAAAAAGAAGACAATAATAAAACAAATAACTAAAAAAATATATATATGCGAATAAGAGTGAAAAGCTACCGCTGTGCGCTTTATGGCTCCTGGCATACTACACAACAGGCCGCATACAGCCGCAGATGGGCGACAGGACTAAGGACCAAGGACCAAGGACTAGGAACTCGAAACTCGAAGCTAGGAATCCAGAACCTCCAGGGGGAAGCAGTTAAGTTTGTCCCTATATATTTTTCGGTCTGCAGTGGCAAGCAGCGGAGCAGAAATAAATTGTGGAATTTGGCAGGGTCAAGGGGGGAACTTTTCTATGTTGGTTTATGAACAATTCAAGTCCGAAGTTGGTTGTTTTATTACCTTCATTATTTCATTTGTTTCAATTAGCGACAGCTGTTTAGCAGCGAGCGAAAAGGAGCCAAGACTGCGATTCAAATAATACCAGACTGTTGTGAAAGTGAATCAAAGTGTTATTATGATTTATTAAAATGTAGGTGTTCATTAAGCTGTCTATTTATTTTTAAGTGATACTGTTAAGCTAAGTATATGTGAATAAAAGTTAAACAAATTTTAAATTTAAAGTTTATAGAATTATTAAATATTTATCTTATATTTTTTAATGATATTCCGAAACTCAAACTATTAACATTAGCAAACTTTACCTACACTTCCGTTTTATACCCTTGCAGGTTATATAATTCTACTTAGAATCTTGCAACGCAGTGATGCAGCCATTTCCGACTCTATAATGTATATATATTCTTGATCAGCATCAACAACCGATTCGATCCAACCACGATCAAGCCACCAAATAGCAGAGATGCAAAGTGAGAGTGAGAGCGGAAGCGGGCCTGTATAGGTACCTCTTTCTCTCTAATGCTCTCTCTGCCACTTTCTCTGACATTCTCTTCGCTCGGAGAGTATAAATAGAGGCACTAGGCTCGCGCGCGAATCAGTCAGTCCCGCGAGGCCGCGGAGATAACATCGACAGTGATAGTGCATTTTGTCATAGTGATTACGCTTCGACCTAATAAAGATGACGTGGCCTTTGGAATTAATCTGGATAAACAGGAAGAAGCTTACTTCACTGGACAGGAAGCAATGACGACAACGATAACTACGTATCCTCACTGCGGTAAGTTTAATCATTACAATTATAACGTATATATAGATGCTATATTAGGAATAGGCCTGGTTCCCTCATTGCTATGCACCCAATTAGTTAATTTTAATTTAAGCTGATACTTCAATTAAAAATTTCTGCTAACGTATACTCAAAGTAAACAGCCTAACCTAAATATATTTTATATACCTAAAATGAATATATTTTGTTTTCCTTTGTTGTATACCAAAAAGAAGAAGCAAATCACTGTCATATATATTTTAATTTACAATTAAATCTTACTCAATAAAGAATAAAGCATAAACATAAAGATTCGAACAAACTTCCGCTTCTCGAAGTTAGTTTTATTTCTCGCTTTAATATCAAAATAAAAGGCGAAAAAAATCTCTAGTCCATAAGAGTGAGAAATGGTTAGAAAATTCAATAAAGTACATGGCCGGACTGCAACTCCATAAAAAGTTGTACACATTTGCTTTGCAGTCCTGCTTAGGAAAATACTGATAAATGGTAACGTTGATGGGGTAAAACTAACTTTAAAGGCAGTTTTTAAGCAAATAATTTCTGAACTTCTCTCGGAACAAATCAAACAAATGAACATGCAGTTGAAGGGCCACAGGCGACTTCATTAACAATACAAATAGCAGCGGCTACCTTTCTCATTTCCACAAGAATTTATATATTTTACCAAGGAGAGTGGACCCTGGTAGGTGAGGCGACTGCAGTTGTGTTCGGTGTTTATTCATGCGCGATTCTCCAGTTAAACATGGTATATAGTATGTTAGATATCTTGTACATAGACCTAGCAGAGGCCAACGTACGTGTCCACAGTCGGACTTGTGTGACTTTTGCATATTAGCCGAGAACTAGTTGGTTAGTTTGCCGCCAAGTTTTCCAGTCAAGTCACGCTCCCGACGACTTCTTCTTCCATCTTTGTTCGCAGCGTCAACAATGTGTAATTTTATAAACTAGTATGTTGCTAACTAACTTCCGGCATCATGATTGCGCCAACAGAATGACAGAATTCGAATCACAGGAGCCCAGGGTGATGGATATTAAATAATGCCACAACTTGTCCCTTTGCAGTTAGTTATTTATAAATAAATAAATAATATCGTAACCAATTGTGCCATAAGAATCAAAGAATGAAACTTATCCCAGCACATTAAGTAAATCTTTAATCCTTATCCATCGAGTTTCATTTTCCAAAAAATCTGCCAGTGTACCATCGACTATGAAAACATCCATTTTCCCTATTACAATTCCCTTACAATTTTCAACATGAGTCTGCCCATGTTTACTTTAATTTCTTCACTAAAAAACATGACTGAAAATTCCCGAACACAATGACAAATGCGGTCAGAGGGTCGCCCTTGACTGGCTGGTTGGATGTCTTCTCCACCGAAAATCGTAGAGCGAATCCTTACCCTTGTCGGTCGGCCAGATGACAGCCAAAAGTGTGGAATAGACAGACAGTCTGACTGGCTGGCACGTGCCTCCACATAAATATGTATGTAAAACAAATGTTGGAAATTAAATTGACTGAAATTTTATGGGCAAACTACGTGAAAGGCAGCGAAATGTTTGCATAATTTGCGAACAATTGACAAACAAACAACCGAAGAGTATCTCAGAGATTTGAAGTTGAAGTTTTACTCCTAAATTTCATTTCGAAATTAAAGCAAAGTCCTATTTCACTTTATCGAGACTGTCATGAAACTCACTAACGATCTACAGTCAGACAAAGGATTCGGATGTCTTTCCTGGTTGTAAACTAACTGAAATTATCGTAAACGAATTCGTTATCTCTGGGTAACATGACAACCAGCTAAAATAATAAAATTGCATTCTCCAAAGGACACCAAGCGAGGCTCGTCCTGCCACTCTCTGGGTTTTCTCTTTATGTGCGGAAAAGCCGTTTGGTCGAAAGGCAAAAGCCAAAAGTGTTTGACAGTCATATATATCCCCATACATATATGTAGATATGTATGCACACGAGTCTGTACTTAGTGCACGCCCATGACTGGAATTATGTTCGCATCAGCAGATATTTATGCAGCCTAATGCATTTGGCTCAATGGGACTCGCAGATTTATGGTGCAGTGCTAGTTGGCCAGCAGGAATTCCATTGATTTTCGGTGAATTACTATCACGGTATAATGAGTTTATTGATACAACTCTTGGCCGGAACCCTTCAGTAGAATATGCCACAGAACGCTCAAGTAGTAACTGACTTAATCGCAATTTTTGAACTCATCACTATAAAAATTCATATTTCGTTAACTATTTAAGAAAACTAGGTTACATTTAATATTTAGACTTATTTAAAGATTTACTTGACTGCTTATTAAGAATGCAAATAAAATATGTATAATATTTAAAATCAAATTAAGTAATAAATCGTGTTTCATCTTTATGAGACATACATTAATATTAAAATATATTTAATTCTGTTGAATTAGATTATAAGAAATAAATGCTTTAAAAGTATTTATTAAAAGGTCAGAGAGATAACGTTTTCCACGAATATAATTTCTTGAAAATAAAGCACTGATAAGCGCCACGGTGCTTTTATTCTTTGGGCTTCAGATTTTGTGCTGCATTTCTTTCGAGTTTTCTGTGCGATGAAGACGTTATTAGCTGGGATCGCTTGTTTTGTATGGTTTATCATACTGAACCTAAGTCACCAGGGAAATGCCCATTTTTGGATGAGACTTGCAAAACCTCAACTCAAAGCCAAGCTGGAAGCTGGATGGTAGCTATTCGTAACGAAACAAAGTTTCGTTGTGCCGGATCACTGATTCACAGAGGTTTGTATATATATAAAATTACACTTGGATAAGTAAAAATTCTATATTATCTTGTAATTATTTCAGAATTTGTCTTGACAGCTGCACAATGCATAGAAGGCCAAAGGTCATTGTAAGTATAGTAACTGATGTATTCAAAATATTATAGTTATAAAGGAGTAGATATTTATGTGAGACTTAGTGGCTTAGTGTCACACGAAGGTTGTAATTATTAATATACCCTTGCAGGGTATGAAGGAGGCACCTCCGACTATATAAAGTATATATATTCTTGATCAGGAACTAGTCTCTCAGTTTTGATGCTATCTGAATGAAACTTTGCAGTTAGTCTTCTATATACTCTCACTCGTATATATGTCGGAACGGGCCGGATCGGACGACTATATCATATAGCTGTCATAGGAATGATTGGAAAAGTTTTACAAAAAAATAAAGTTTTTAGTTTTCAACAGAATTTGATCAAAGTTGAGATATAGCCATTTCATATTATTCTAAAATTTTGTGTAAAATTTTATGAAAATCGGATTACTATATCATATAGCTCCATAGGAACGATCGAGAAATTAATACAATTAAATTTATAACTTTTTTAGTTTTCGGCTGATTTCATCAAATTTGAGGCATAGCCATTTTATAAAGGTCTTAAATTTTGTGGCAAATTTCATAAAATCGGACGACTATATCATATAGGTGCCATACAAACGATCGTTTGATGTAGAGGAAAAATGCAAATCTGTGAATGTAAAACTGCAAATATAATATGTATAGGTGAATGAAATGAAAGCAGGTATTTACTTACCGAAGTTAGCTTCCTTTCTTGTTATTATTTAATTTACTTACAGATACGTGATGTTGGGAGCTAAGGATTTGCTGCATCCATTAATTACGGTTGCTGTCAAACAAGCCTTTGTTCATCGTTCATTCTCCCGGGAAAACCGACTTAATGATATCGCTCTGGTCATGCTTTCGCATAGCGTCGATTACACAGGTGAGTAAAGAAATGATCCTTTTGGAACCTGTGCTAAGATTTAAGATCTATTCACAGACTACGTTCGACCCATATGCATTCTGCGGAATGCAGAATCAAAGGATGATGTTGACAAAATTCGATATTTAAAAACCTTTGGCTGGGGAATAGGAACAGATGTTAAAATGAGTTACAACCTAAACCTAGACATCAGAATTCAACGTTTCGATCGTAATTACTGCGGAAACAAATCGGAGGAGTCATCCTTTTGCGGCGGTCCGACAAATGAAGGCTTCTGTGCTGGAGATATCGGAGGTGCCGTATCCCATTATTTAAAATTGGATGATAAGATGCATCCAGTACAGATTGGTATTGTGAGTTCTGGAAAATGTGGAGGAGCGCGACCTTATGTCGATGTGACAAGTTACGCCGTCTGGATTGAGAGATTAATTCGAACCTATGACGAACCAAAATCAGCACCAGTTACAAATAATCAGGTGCCAAAAACTCCGGCAACTGATGAAATGCCGCTCTTCAGAGACTGCGGTGAAACCTACCTCACAGCAAACATTTATGGACCTGAATTTATGGCCAAGGGCGTAATGATCACTTACCGTACGTTTCCGTCATTATATTATTATTCTTGTTATTATTATTTTATCAGAAGTTTGATCATATAATGATATTTGCTTTACATATAATCATCATTAATCTTTGCAATTTCAGTTTTGTTCTTACAACCGCCAGAAATTTGACAGATGATGTATCTTCTCTGTAAGTACTCACAACTTTTATTCCGAACATATCTTTCAAATACTAATAAGAATTTCTATGCAGACGAGTCGGATTCTTTGATTCTTGGATTCTTTCAAGAAATTGAAATCGATTCGGTTTACAAACACCCGGAGGTTCACAAAACTGATATTGCATTGCTCAAGTTGAGCAGTGGGCTGATTCCTGAAAGTACAACTAACTAACATTACATTTAATAACATTATCCTATAACCTATGTCCTTCTAATGAAGCCAATATGTGTCTTCAGAAGGCCAAATGTGAATCAATCTCGTCAGCTCAGAATTTTAGACATTAATCGATCTAATGCAACCCGTACTTTTTTGGCAGCCTCACCAATTGAAAGGTGTTCCGTCAGTTTGGGGAAAGTGATCCAGCCGGCTGAAATATGTGTCCAGACTCCTCGTGGAATGAAACAGGTCTTTGGGATTCGCGGTAATGTTGTTTCCCAACTGATTAAGATACCAGGAAAAAATATTATAGTACATCCCTTATTTGGAATTGTTAAACATTCAGAGCATGGTATAAACGTTATTATAGATGTTACTCCACACACGGATTGGATTGCTTCCGTTGTGAATGGAAACTCTGTGTGAAAACACATTATTTAAATGTTAAATATACCCGATTATATTATTATATTTCAGTGGCCCAATGGGGAAATGTTGTACGGAATTCTTATGTTTTTCTTTTCCTGATATTGAACCTATCTGTCTGCTTAGACAACAACGTGCCAAGGGTGCCGTGAAACACACCGTAAGAGATAATGGTAAGAGACTATCGTCTTAAATAGACGACAATGACAACGATGCCAAGTTGCCTCAACATGATGGGAACGTCTGATAGGAAATCCATGGTGTTATTTCTGGGCGACTGAGACATTTTCCTGCTCAGCTGGGTCAAAGCCGCTCGGGGGAATAGCTGCGGGATGGCTTGCAAGACCCTAACCAGTTGCCAACAGTGGCGGTGCTCTTGTCCACTTCCGGTCCCTACTGCAGGCGATGTGCAAACAGAGCCCTCCCCTCAATGGCAGTGGCAACATGGACTGCCTGCCATCCGGCCCCGGTGATTGGTTTGTTATTCGTGTATTTGGCCGGCATTGTTGTTAGCCAGGCACTTGGACCACGTGAGATTTGTTTTGGGGTCCAGCCCCGAGAATTCCGGTTAATCAATAGTAAGTGGCTGGCCAGAGGCCAAAGGGAAATGTAGTCTTTACCACAACAGCATTGAATAGAATTCAGTAGCTTCAATGTGGAGCAAAAGTCTGACCCGAATCCTGTGGCCTGCTGGCTTCCAATCACCTGTAAGGGAATTGAGTGCAGGAAAAGCATCTTCTAGAAACAAGGAGTTTTCTTTCGTACCGAATATGCTCTCTAGTCTCGTAAAAAGGCGCCATCAAATTTCCAACTTGCGAAACACTGGTATATATACAAACAGATAAATTGATCTTTGGCATTTTTATTTAATTTCTGTTATAAAAATATATATAGCTTTACTAACTTTGTTTTTGTTTTTGGAGAAAATAAATACATTTTTCGATTGCATCAGTCGTCTATAAAAGTTATTATTGAAGCAGTCATTTGCAACTATATAAGGTATATATATTCCTGATCAGCATTAACAACCGATTCGATCGAACTGCGATCGTGCCACCAATTAGAAAAGAACAACAGAAGAGTGGGAGTGTGAGCGGGAGCGGGAGGGTAACAGATACCTATTTCCCCTCTGTTACTCTCTGCCTTACTCTAGAGGTGCCTCTTTTCTCTACCGCTCTCGCTCTGACTTTCTCTGGCATTCTCTTCGCTCGGAGAGTATAAATAGAGGCACTAGGGTCGCGCGCGAATCAGTCAGTCCCGGGAGGCCGCGGAGGTAACATCGACAGTGATAGTGCCTTTTATGATAGTGAACACCCCTAAAGATGACGTGGCCTATGGAATTAATCTGGATAAACAGGAAGAAGCTCACTTCACTGCACTGGAAAGAATTGAACCATGACGACAGCGGATAACTATGTGTCCTCCACTGGGGTAAGTCTTAATCATTACAATTATATCGTATATACATATAGAAGCTATATTAGGGATCAGGCCTTGTTCCTTCATTGTTATGCACCCCATTTAGTTAATTTATATTTAAACTGATACTTAACTTTGTATTAAAAATATCGACAAATCTATACCCAACGTAAACAGTCTAACTTAAATATATTTTATTCACAAATTTTGATTTCTGATCTTTAAGATTGTTTCAAATCTGACCCTGACTTTTGGGTATTATATTTTAATTCAGCAGCTTGTAACGATGTGAAGAAATCGTTTCCGATCCGATCCGATATATATTCTTGATCAGCATAAACAGCTAAGTCGAACTAGCCATGTCCGGTAGAATAATACATTTTAGAAATTTGTTCAGAAGTTGAAAATTTATTTTATTTGGAAAGTTGTTATGATACTTTAAAAAAATATGCAAGGGTAACTGCAATTATATACACACATTTGCATCTCGAAGTTTCTTGTTTTTCTTTGCTTTTCCGCGATCCCACTGACCGAGGGGCTTTTCCAGACATGCTGAGTTATTTTTGGGGCATCAGGAGTTATACAAGCACATGACACGTCCGGGCTTCGCGTGTGCCAATGCTTCTGTGTGTGTGTGTGTGTGTGTGTGTGTGGGTGGCGATGTCACCTGGTGACAAGGTGTTGGCTTTCACGTGGATTTTAGTTACATCACCCGGCCGCAGCGTAGTCTCATCACCTGTCGCTCCCGTCCACAAACCACCTGCCCCTGTTGGCTGCGTCATGGCTGCGTGATTAGCCAGGTAGCACGTAGTGGCAGCGGGCTTGGCACCCGGCCAGATGCTTCTCCAATCAGATGTCAATTACGCCAAAGATTACCGGGGATCTGTGGCTCTTTTGTTCGCGCTCTTCTTTGAGCCAGGATTATGAGTGCTTCGGGGCTATCTGCAATCTTGGCAAGAATGCATATACACATATATTTTATACCCAGAGATGTTGCCTCGGTCATGTCAACAAGTCAATTGCTTATCATAAATTACCCATACGCCCCATTCAGCGGCCGCCTGCTATCATTATTATTACACCCGGGGGACCACTTGCTCTGCCTCCGAAGGAGTGCATAAATTTCTAAGCAAAAGATAAATAAGGATACCCGACAGGGCGACCTTCAAAGTGCGCAATATTCCTTATAATTCGATCGATAAAATCAAGAAAAATGTGTAAGCAGCTGGAGGGAGAAAAGCAATTTCGAAAAATGTTAGTTAAGCATAAAGTATTCTTTTAAATTGGAATTGGAAAACTACCTAAAATATGAAGACTACGTTTTTCAAGTAGTTATTGATTAAACATATGATTTAAAAAAGAGCTTTAAACCAATCCACTTTGATAAAAACCGATAAAGGCGACACCAGATTGCTGCTTAAAAATCATTGAAAAATGTGAACATTCAATGGAAATTGAATCGATATGCAAACGCGTATAAATTTCACAGAATATGGCCAGCAACAGTTGGCTTTAATGGATCCGATCCGTTCCGTTCCGGAAAGTTGCCTACTTTTTATCGTTCTCGTTTTTTTTCAAGTTTGCTTAAATCCTGAATGGATAAATGTACATATATTTGATGTTTTTACGCAGAGGGGCATATCCCTCATATCCACGGGATAACCTCTTTTTTTTGGAGGGGAATCCCACCTGCCGGTAAGCGGCAAATGTAAATAAGCATAAAATCCAATTTTCTGTTAGCTCCTGCGTGTTTGCACGACGTCTTCCGCTTTTCTTTTCTCTCCTGTTGTAGAAACTTCTCCAGGAGCTCGTGTCTTGTCAGGTTTTTCTTCTCTTTTTTCAAGGAAAGATGCTGCTGTCAAACCCACTTGAAGATTTGCAATCAACGCCCAAGGCAAAAAGCAGGCAGGTGAGCATCAATTGATGCCGTTCCCCCCTTTGATCTGGCCAACATTCATGTGCTCTGACAGCCGAAAAGCTCACTGAAATTTACCCAATTTGGGTCACTCGAAGTGCGTTGAACGGCCTTTAAGGAAACTGTATGGGAGGCGGGTATGTAGCATGTTATGTAATAATTTATGATTACCTCATGTGACCGGAACGGGACGCTGCAAAAAAGGTTTACTGCCAACTGACAGCCGACTCTTGTGGCTAATCTAAATAACATAATCAGATTTGTCAGGCGAAACAAAAAAGTGGCACAGAACTGACCGGGAGTCGCATATGTTCTCACTTGAAGTTGAGTTGGACACATTTGGCAGCGTCATTTACATATTTGACTTGATAAAAAGGGTTCTGAGCTACATAGGATTTTTTTCCTGCTTTTTTGCCTCTTTATACCCTTGCAGGATATTATACTTTCAGGACCTTGAAACGCAGTGAAATACCAATTTCCGACCCTACAAACCATCTACTTATATTCTTGATCAGTACTTGAACTTGCTTTCTGAATAAAAATTAATGCATATTTGGCTTAGTTATGATTATTTCCAAAATCAAGCTGCAAGGGTGTATAAACTACGGTTTAGCTTCTTTAGCTTCTTTTCTAAGCTAGTTTTTTCCGAATCTGTGGAAATAAAAAGGGATTCCCTTGAAGGTTTAGGTTTTTCCAAGGACGAAACTTGAACTGATTATGTTATATGTTTATCTATAAAACGCAGTTTATAATTCCTCAAAACTAAGCTTAATAAATTATTTAAAAATCCCAAAATAAATATTATCAATGTTAATATCCTATTTAATCAACATTTAAATGTCATTTATTTAGACTAGACAACATATTGGATCTATAAAATGTGATAGACTGATTGCATTTAATTGAAATACTTTCTATAGGCTATAACATTTAATTTTCGTAGTTAAGAGCTTTAGTTTAACCCACATTATACGATTGCATCCTTTGTTAAGCAAACTGTACCACTTTCCCAACATTTGTAAATGCAATACAAACTGCACACAATGCATTCGAGTGCGATTGTTTGCGAATTTGTGTGAGAAGTTGGCATGCAGAATTTTGCTTTGGTTATTTGCTCTCGTTCGGGTTCTAATTTGCATTTTGTGTTGGAAAATTCTGTGTGTAACATGAAAATTATAGATACCCGGGTAGTGTTGATTTCTAAAATTATTGGATTTGGTATGCCTTAATCTGTGTGAGTTTCTAGTATTTGCAT